GACACACAACGCAGACACACAGCTACACACAGTCCGTTGTCTTCATCAGATCTTACTCCAACGCTCTCCTCAGTGGGACTGAAATCAGAAACAAAGACAGAACGTTTCGTCAAGAGGTCATTTTTGTCTGAAGTTTGTCGACGGTGGAGAAACGTGTGACCGTTGTAACCCTAACCCCGACTGAGAACGTTCTGCCAGCACGTGTTCTGCCGTTGTTAAAGAAAAAGAAACAAAACTAAACATCTGAAACGTGAAAAACAAAGAAAACCCAAATAATCAGCGACGTCCAGTAACTGACCCAGAATCAGCTTCAACAGGAGGCGAAGCATTAGACCGGTGCTCGGCTCTGAACAGAACCGGTTCCGTTTGTCGGCGCTTCACAGAGAAACAGAACAAAGACGATGAATCAAACCGGTTTCATCCAGTTGGAGCAGATCCAGTGTCTTGGTTCTTTTGGTTGATCCTCTTTCATGTCGCCCTGCAGATGCTCGGACCTGTTACCATGCCAACTGTCAGTACGGCTGTGAGGTCATCAAGGGGGCGGTCCGATGCACCTGTCCGTCGCCGGGGTTACGCCTGGGCCCGGACAGACGCACCTGCATCGGTCGGTGGCCTCGACTCTGCTGGTCGGTCGCTGCTAAAAGCCGCTGGTCTTTTCAACTCGTGTTTTTCTCCGCAGACGTGGACGAGTGTGCGTCGGGACGCTTCGTCTGCTCGCGCCGCAGGAAATGCGTCAACACGTTCGGCAGCTACACCTGCAGGTGTCATCTGGGATTCAGGCTGGTGCTGGTGGACGGACGCTACTCCTGCATCGGTGAGCATGTCGCCAAATCCTAAACCCTGACCCGAAGCCTAAAGCCTGAACCCTAACCCTGACCCTAAACCTAAACCCTAAAGCCTGAACCCTAACCCTAAACCCTAAACCTAACCCTGAACCCTAATCAACTTTTGTGTTACTCTGGCTTTTTATCGCAGAGTTTAAGTCACAAGTTTCACAGGTTATTATCATTTCAACCGTTTATTTTATTATTCCTCATTTCTTCCAAACACAACCAGAGGATGACAGAAACATCCCTGTTCTCTGTAGTCAAACCACTTCTCAGATTCAAACGTTTTTGTTGCATCGGCGGCTGGACCAGAAATGAATCCTGGTTCGTCTGGCAGAAAGCAGATGTTTAATGAATCCATCTTCTCTCTGTTTGTCACCAGACAAAGACACTCGGACCTTCTGCTCTCTGAATCCTTCGTCTCCAAAGTGCCGCTGCAGAGACGGCGGCTGCAAAGGTAACGAGAAAACCGTCTGATGGTGGAGTCCAACTCCCTGTTTCTGTTGTTTTACCGAGAACGTGTCGGTTGTATTTGTTGAGTGAATCCAAATTCGGACGTGGCCGGTCATGAACGTTAGATGTTTGGGGTTCGTTTAGAATCCAAACAGAATTGACTGTTTGGACCAGAATTGACTATTTCTTTCTGCCAAAAACTGATTTACATTCAGTTTTATTATGCAACATGACCAGTATAATCATTTCCGACCATGCAAGAGTAATTATGGACCTTAATCTCAAAACAACATTACGTCAGTCTCGTCATTGGAGACTTAACACCATTATTCTTAAAGATGAGGAATTTACCTCCAATTTCTCCACTGAACTTGAATTATTTCTGCAAATTAATACTTCAACAGCCAGTAATGCCTCCATCTTATGGGAAACATGCAAAGCTTACGCGAGAGGACTAATTATTTCGTACTCTGCAACAAAGAAGCGTCAAAGGCAGGAGAAACAAAAATGTTTAGAGAGTGAATTGGTGGATAAAGAAAAAGCTTACATTGCCTCCCCATCACCATCATTGTGGCAAGAGATCACGACAATGAGATCAGC